ATTCCACGAATGACCTTTTTGATAATTTTTTGAGTGGTTGATTAGAAGTGACAGTGACAGTCTGTGCGCTCAAGTGCACATCGGCATAAATAACTTGCAGCCACAAACGGAAATCGAATAAATGGAACAAGGCGGTGTTGGCTCGAAGGAGGCACCAAATGGGAAGCTTTCACAGGTCACTCTGTGGAGACATATGAAACCTTGTAACAGTGGCTCATTTGTTCCACTTTGCAGCTTTACAATTCTACACGCTTCACCAAAATGAGACCTGTAGGTTAATATGAACTGGCCACAGAAACTACCGAATTTGCCAACTGCCCCTCCCATTTGATGCCTAGAAGGAAATGGACTTTGTGGACGTTCTCTCGCCACGATCAGCTGCTAATGCGAGCAACTCAGCAACTGTATGACTGTTGAATCTACAGCATGCGCGAAACTCTAATAGAAGCGCAACTCTCCTCAATTAAAATAAGTAAATAATTGTCATTTTCTAAAGCAATATCGCATGCAAGGGCAGGGTGGTGGTGGTAATGGAAAGTGGCGCCACTATAATGCACACGCTCCGAGATCGATCATGGATCACCTTTCGCCCGGGCCAACGAGGCTTTCTACAACTTCCGAGGCCGACTAATGGGCACCAGATTTGCCCATGAGATTGAAAACCCTGAGTTGTTCATCAGCTGGCCCGCAAGTCATTGCATAGACCAGGTCACATTCAAAACGCCATGGAGGCATCCGAAAATGAATTGATCAGTGCCGAGATTTTTTCAGCCATTGGTCTGCAAAATATAGTTTTTTAAGCATATTACCGTTTCAGTGTGCTGTCCACTGCTCTCGACGAGTTCATTACCGAAGCGAGCTCCTAGCAATACGACAGAATTCCAACAGTGTACAATTCTGCAACGAGTATCGTCCACCTGCCCAACAGATGGATTCGTCTTCTGCAGCAGCGCTCAACAAACGAACGTTCGTTTCTTCTGATTTCTCTCCCATTTCACTTCAGCGCAACGCTTTCACTAAAGGGATCGGGGATTTCGCCCAGTTCGTGGCAGACAACGTTAGCACAGAATAACCCGGGAAGACGAATCGAACCCGGAAGAAACCACCTCATCACTGATCACATCGCACTTTCGACGTCAAAGCGTCCGTCAACCCGAGGTCCCAGGATTAGCCGCGATTCCGAGAGCGAAAATGATATCTCTAGGTAATATGTATTCGGCAATTTTGATGGACAGGGGGCATGATCAGGACCTTTTCAGGGGGAATTTTCACAGAAGCTGGTTGAGAAGCCTGCGAACTCTCTTTTCTTAAACCGCTCTCATGCTATCTCTTTCTTTCTCCTACCGCAGGCAGTTGAGTGGCACGCCGGCTTAGAAGGGAGAATAGCTTGTACTCTGGACGCACTCTCCTTTATAAAGGTGCTGCATACATAACAAGAACTCATCACGATTCTGAGTAGAATTTGAGTGCGTGGCGCATCTCATATCGACCCGATCTTTGTCAAGTGCGCTTTTGCCCTTTGTTTTTTTGTAGCGCCTATTCATTTCAGCCGACGCTGATGCAGATCGAATTCTTCGACGCCAATGGAGCAGTGGTGCGAACAGTGACCGGCGGACCACCAACACTAGTCGTTCGAGTGAGTGTCAGCAACAGAAACACTTCATTCGACATGTTGAAAGCATTTTGCGCGATTCTCTGGCGCGATTCCCTCGATCGATACATATACTCCATATCCCGGAGTTGCGGTAGGTGTGGCCATGTTCTTCATTTGAAGGTGCGGCGTGCGGCGGCTGTGCGCTTGGTGTGATATTGTCGTTTCGGGACAACTATAATCATGAATTTGTCCACCACAAGATAGAGTAACAGTTGTCTCGAATGGAAATGTCCGGCGAAAAACGCATCCTACACGACATAAAGCGCTCAACCACGCCCTCCGCCTAGCCGGGATATGTAGCGTAACAAGCGTGCTGAGCCTTGATAGGGGCTCTGAAAAGGGAAGGGCGGCATTATAAATAGAGCTGAAGGCACATTGAGCGACCACTCGATAGGTAGAATCAAGCATTTGAATAGATCCGGTCCCCATGCTCAGAGGTTCTCCCGCCCTCGAGTACACTCCTTATCCCTGAGCCAGAGTAGGCGTGGCATTTGAACATGGCACGGAATTGGTTACTCGTGGAATATTCCAGTCTGGGACAACTGTCATCTTGTTCTGTGTTGGACAGAGACACGACAACAATTGTGTCAAGATGAAAATATCTCACCAGAGCATAGACCCTTCAGGTTAAGTTGAAGCGTGCAGCCACACCCACCCGATCTCAGGGTGGATCTGGCTGCACGCACGCTTTCGAGTATACCTACAGTGAATGGCTGGGACGCTGCTGTAACCACTGGACGGAAGAACCCATCTATTTGGGGGTAATATGTGGCAGCGGGGCCTGTATATAAACACTCGGCGTGATGCTATATAATAACTACGATCTATTTCTTCAGGTTTATTGTGTGACCGGTGTTTGGAATGTGCGACAAACTGCTACCTCCACTGTGAACGTTCCTATTGCTTCGGTGAGTCAAGCTGGGGAAGGATCACCATCGAGAAACCGAGAAAAAAGCGCTTAAATCATGAAAAATCTCGTGAGAGAGGGAGGAGGTCTTCGATCCTCCTCGGTTTCTTTGACAACACACAACCACATTAAGAGAACCCTATTAGGTTGGTTTGTAGTTTCCTTGGAATAGTGACTATTTTTGGATGTTTATATTTCTAATTGCATTTTATGTATTTATCCACTGTAGAATACACCGCCAATATCTATAGGACAAGAAGTTGCTTGATGCCCCCTCCCCTTGTAGAAAGCTAGGGATTTCCGGTCTAAGAGATGGCATGAAATTTTTTATAAAGGAAGTGAGTCAAAGAGTGGATTCATGCGATAAGCGATGATGGGGATGTCGGGTGAAAGCAGAAGAGTTAGTCATTCAGAAGTGTTCACTTTTAGTGGCTTCCCATCGATGCGCACCCCACCTACAGTACTATAGTAGTTAGTCAGCAGGCCACCCTAACACAAGATTCTCTACCTACTGCACACCACATCTCAATAAGTTTCTTCTCGAACGACGCTGGGCTTGTGGCCTGTGCCGGAATGCGTGGAACTGTTTTCGACTGTCGGGGGTCATGCCGTTTGTACTGCTGGGCGACAAATGGCAGCCACTTTCTTATTGCTGCTGGCTATTGTATCGTCGGTTGTGGGTGCTGTGAAAAGTCATCAGGAACGCAACGTTATCGAATCATGTTTGGGAAGCTGGTTGCAACGCCTCAGACAATGTGGACCAAAACTTCTGATTTTCAGGTTTTGCCTATATCACGGGGATGTTTCAGTGCTGTCATCCTGCCGGTGCTCTGCCAGCTAGCAGCTAGCGCGCCAAATATCCTTTGGAACAGTGCCGCATCTAGGATTGGAATCAAGAGTGATATGGCAGCCAATGTACAGTCCTCATCATACGTACTGTCGGGGCGGTTCAGTGCGGCTGCGTTTGGCGCGGGGCCAAAGTCGTTCTGCACCAGTTGTTGAAGCGGGCAAGTGACATTACTGTATTATATCCTTCGTATTACTCGTTTTCTACCACTTTTTGTCGCATACGCGTTTCAAAAAAAGGCTGAGAACGGCTTCAACAGTGTGCACACTCATACTGGCTGACACGCCCCACCGGTCCGCAATGATGAGGACTGTATTAATGACTGAGCCAATGGAACGTCTTAGTGCGACGTGGATTTTGGCGCTGCTCCAGCTGGATTCCAGCAGTCGTTATTGGATGAGGCGAGCAATAATTGGTGGGAAGTGAGCTGGCGCCGTCCAAAATCTACTTTACACTGACAAGCCCCGTCATTTGGAAGTTGAGGAATATACATCACCTTTGAATAGAAAAGAGCGAACTACACTGCATTGGTAGTGTACCGTGGTTAGCGTGCTGCCCTATCGCTGTCCACAAGCTTATCCCGAAAAGCTGAAGAGGTAACCATAGAATGCATCGGGCCAATGAGCTGGACGTTTCGAGGGGTTCAGCGAATCGACGGCATACAATAGAGTCTACGGACAGCTTGAACACAATTTCTTTGAACGCGTCCAATTTGTATTTTCTCTGCTCCCTCTCTCACGAGTGGCACTTTATGGTCATTGTGACTTCGCACATTCCAGCTTTTCACGTATGATAAGTGGCTCACCCACCCCGGAGTCCCTTCCCCTTGAAAAAGTTCGTTTCCTGGCTTGCCATAGTTTCTTGCACGTCTCGATGCTTTGGCAGGCGCTGTCCTCTATCCGTCTGCATTCCTTCGTTTTGCAACAAGGACTCTGCCAGATATGGACCAGCCTCAAACATATGTATTGATGTGAATGTCATGACAGACAAGTGGAAAATCAATTCTTTCAACTCGTCTTGGCGAGGCTCCACTTCAGCGAAAGCAGTAGTACAGAGTTAATGCTAATGGGACGCGACTACTATGGGAGTTCTGAGTATTTGCCCAATAATTATAGTTGGTATCTTGCAATCAGTCGGCACAGCGCCAGGAGCTGTGGAATGAGCCCGTCCCGTCTACGTTTTCCACCAGTGATGATCAGGTGGTAGGAACCCGCGGGTGGGCTCATCCTATGCCTCCTGACACCGCTCCGAATTATTGGGACGACACTTGTGTACACTTCACATCACTCAGACGTGGTGGGCATGGCTGCGTACTTCATCTAAACGTGGCGTAGGATGGGTTACTCGAGGGATGTTCGAATTCGAGGCACCCATCATACTGTCTTCTGTTGGACACAGATCTTATTACAGTTGTCCCAAAGAAGATATCCCAGTGAAAGCAGCCACCGCCACGTTTGAATGAAGTATACAGCCACGCCTATCGCATCTCAGAAGCTTACTATAAGTAGATGCGAAGTCATAGCAGTGCTAAGCGCTGACTGAATCGATCACCGAGAAACGGTAGAGTTCTGACCGAAAACAACAACGGAGGAATTAACATTTCTCAGGACAAATTACACTTTTCGCCCATGAGCTATGGAATATTCATGACAAACCTTCCAACCACCATGACCCCCCCCTAAAGCTGCGATCATAAGTCGGCATCAGCTGAATCACCTATCCATTAAGGAACACATTTCTCGGTGCCATATTTTTCAGCGAAGCGGAAAAAGGCTCTCAATACGTCCATTTATCCTTTGTACTTTTTGAATGGAGCAACCCTACTATGCCTATGGCGACTTTTTGTGCAATATCCTATGAAAGACTAAAGGGCTCTCGTTCAATAGGCACTGGTTAATACAAGACCAAAGTGAGTTGAAATGGGACATTTTGTAGGTGTCCTGTGCGCAATCTGGATCCACTGGTACCGACGCTGGATACGTCCAGGATTCAGCTCTGAACTGACCAGAACCGATGACTACCGGTTTGTAATTAGTGTAAAGTTTGAGTGTAGTAATAATTTGACTAATAAGAAATTTCGATTTTTTTTCTCTGGTGCAACACATCATATCAAACATCCATCGAAATATCATTTGATGAAGTATTAATGAATGCTAATACATTCCAGTCATGAGCAATTTTAGCGCATTCTCATCACTGAAATGCATAAGGTATGATAATTTGGTACTCAATCTGAAGAAGCAGGGGTACTATGCAGCAGGGAAAATGGCCAAAAAGCGAAGTGAAACAAAAATCTGTGAAAGAGCCTTTGCTGCACTCGAAAAGCTATTCCGGACGAGTTTTTCCCATTGGCATTGTGCCATCTAGACAGCGCCCGGGTTGGCACGTTGCAGCTTGATGGGACGTATCAGATTGAAGGGTTGCGCAGACCTTCATCCGATGGGTGTAGCGGTGTTCTATGTATGAACATTGAACTGGGTTATATAAATGTTTATTAGATATGGATACGATACATAGGGAAAAGGGGGAGGAGAGGAGGAGGCCGGCAGAGCCGGGCCGAGGCGTGAGACGACCAGCTCCTAGCGTAGGTGACGGGGCGAAGCCATTCCATTCCATGGCTGCCGGCTGGCAGCAGCTTAAGTACTCATGGCCGCCGATGACGAAAGGCTGGACGGCAGGTGGCATGCGACGATTGGCTCCTCTTGCCTTCGCAACGAGGATACGACATCTCCATTCCTTACAGTAAGCTCGTCCTCGAGCTTTGAGCTTCCATCATGTTGTGTTCGAAGTTCTTCTCGCAAGTGTCCTTGAACGTATAACAGGATACATACTGACTGGCGAGAAAATGTATACAAGCGAAGTCTGATGAAATGAAAGAAGCTTGTGTTCACTGTGCGTGATGTAATAATCCAACATGATTCGGCTTATTCATTTCCCTGCGCCAGTCGGTCTGGGCTTGCTTAAACTCCAGCGTCTTTGCCATCTCCGCAAGCCATTCGAGGTACCGGCTATTCTTCTCTGAGATATCCCGGACCGTGGAAGCCGATTGTCCACAGCCACTGCATACGGGTGGCTGAAACGCCTCAATTAGTACACTTTTCCTTTCATATAAAGGTATAAACCCCACCGCTAATAACTCCACCATGCGTTCCTCGAAGTTTTGATCGGCGCTAGCTCTTCTGCTCTGAAAAAAAGGATATACAACAACCAAGAACACTGGGAACAGATACTCATAAAAAAAAATTTTTTTACTCACCACCTCTAGTTGGACATTCAACATAATCTCCATACAGGTGCTGCCCCTCATTTCTACGGCGCTGCTTATTTCTAAAAGATAAATTATTCGATAATAGAAGGTTCTTCCCCCTCCTCTCCAATTAGACTGTCCCAATCACACAGTAAATAAGATGGTGAATGACCATCGAAAACAAAATATACTATTGTAACAACAATCTTTATTCTTCTAAGTAGAACAAAGTAACACATTCAACAACGAAGGGCCTTCTCAGTAGTGGCCTCCTCTCCCGTGTTGGTTCGGAGACCATCTTGGGCTCTGGGGAGAGCCCTGCGGGCTCAACGGAACCCACCTTGGGGCTTTAGCGGACATGCGGGCTCATTGATGGATTGCAGGAGACTCGGAGATCCATTGAACACTGGGCCGGTACTCCGGCTCGGGACTGGACTGGGCTGGACGAGTCCAGCCCAGGCCAAGGGTCATCCGGGACACAACGTCCTAGGCCTCTCGGTTTTCCTAAAAACAGGCACATTAAAAATGAAAGGAGACTTGAATGCAAAGCAAAGTTCCCCAATAAAAATCTCCCCGGGACCTCCATATCAGATTGAAGGGTTGCGCAGACCTTCATCCGATGGGTGTAGCGGTGTTCTATGTATGAACATTGAACTGGGTTATATAAATGTTTATTAGATATGGATACGATACATAGGGAAAGGGGGAGAGGAGAGGAGGAGGCCGGCAGAGCCGGGCCGAGGCGTGAGACGACCAGCTCCTAACGTAGGTGACGAGGCGAAGCCATTCCATTCCATTCCATTGCTGCCGGCTGGCAGCAGCTTAAGTACTCATGGCCGCCGGTTACGAAAGGCTGGACGGCAGGTGGCATGCGACGATTGGCTCCTCTTGCCTTCGCAACGAGGATACGACAGACGCTATAAGTATAAATTTCCTAAAATACAGGCTACGCAACGCCTGCTCAAGAATACCGAATAATTCGATTCTGCTAGACGTATTAAATCCACACGTTTTAATGATTCATCGTGCCAGTGGCTTTCAAGGACACTCCCACACTGTATATATTTTCAAAATTTTCTGTCATAATACATTACAGGGCGCTGTTGATGTAGTGACATGCAGCATATCGTACGCACCAAAGGAGGTTCGAATCCCGGATCCGATTCAGCCCAACCAAATCTACCACTTTTCCGGAATCGGGTGGTGAGACACCGGGAGGATAAAAACAGTGACCTTCCCCTGAACTGGTCACCACACGATATTGCAAAAGGCCCGATCGCATATAAATCCACACCATGATTCGTAAAGAGGGTTAACTTGTGGCAGCTCTCTAAAATTTCTTGATTTATGCCAATAGCTTTGCGATTTTGAACTGGTATACCATTGCGCAGCCGTAGATCGTAATGTGACAAGTAGCACGCCTACCACGGACGTGATCTGGGACTTTGATATCAAGTTCAATCTAATCAAGCTTTTTACCCTCTCGGAAAGGACAAGACAATCGGAATTTGCCGCGGCGTCGCCCGCAGCACATCGCATGACCCCGCCCAGGATATCCCCGATGTGCATCAGTCTGTCGACTGGAGCAGCGAAACTCATGTGAATTCACGGAGGCAAACTCCATGCCGAGTAGTATCCACCATTTTTCCTGTCCTTTCAATATTCATATTCACACGGTCGTACAACTCGGCTCGCGTGGGCGGCGTCGCACGCCCCACCCAGCACGACATATTGCGATTGTCTTGTCACATACCCCGGGAACGGTAAATTGGTACGATTTGTCCGACTGGATAACAACACTGACTGTACCCGACTGGCCCGCGCAAATCTTTTTATAAGCTACATAGCATTTGTTACTTCACTGCGAGCTTGAATAGAAGTAGAATGGCGTGCCGCATCCTGAAAACGGACCGATCAAAGGCGAAGAGTTTATCTTTTGTGTCGCACAGTTAAGCAAAGATCAAAAAATAACAGTGTCTTTTATTCAATTCTCAAATACCTACCTCATAACAAAATATAAACCTCTACAACAAGTCTAGGAAGTATATCAACATATACCCCACATCATACAAAACTATGAGCAGTACATAACCCTCAAAGACTGAATCATGGTAGTTCTATGTAACAACGTGTAAGACTCGCTAACATTAGCTCGTTTTGCTTTTACGTTTCGCAACCGGAACCTTGTTGATTGGAGCGATACGTCGGAAGGTGTTGATGTAGATATATCTGCAAAACTATCATCACATGAACCCCAAACAACCGAAGTTCAGGAATTCTGAAAGAACAAATGAGCACTGAATCGATCCATTGATGTGATATGAATTATTTTCTTTTTTTTATGACGAATCCAATGCTTATAGCAAAGTCGGGCACAGTTCGGCGAGGGTGGGGTGCATTTTGCAATTTCGCTGCTTATCACTGTCGCGTCGAGTCATCAAATGGGGATTCGTGGGGTCTCGTGAAGCCGTGAGGTGATCCAGCCTGTCAGCAGAGATTACATGTCAACTCTTGTAAAGCAATGAACACGGCAATGGAAAGCAGCGAAAAAGCACCCCCCCCCCTCTTCTGGCAGCACCGACCAAAGACTTGTTTTAGTATTCTTATGTAATTGAATTCTGAGATTGTTCCAAAGAAGAAGCTTGGTTTCTGTATCGCACGAGCCCTTAGACGATGGAAACTAAACAATCACAATATCCTCGTTCCGCGTTCATCAGCCGGGAAAAGGAGGGCACCGAAATGAAGCGTTATTAATTTCCAGAATTCATTATAAAACCGTTTTTACATTGAATTCCAAAGTTAAGCCAGCAGATCCATAGGGCATTTTATCTGAAACTTAAGCAGGGAATACCGAGCCCAGCTTGGGTCCTCATTACTTAGCATTTCTTCGAGAACTCTTAAATGTTTCGTGCCGGAACCCCAGAAGTCCAGCGATGCCTTCCTGAAAAACATGGCTGGACTTCTGGGGTTTCGGCTTTTCAGCCCACTGTAAAGAGAATGTGTCGAAAAGCACAATTTCATCGACTCGATGCATTGAACACCTTCCGGATCACGTGACGCACATGGTGTGTCATTAATTTGTCTCTGCGTGGTGTTTTTTGGATTGATTTGGCTCTTCTTTCATGAGCCGGTGTTGTAAAAACACATTCTCGCTTACGAAAGATACTTATCTCATAAGCGATTGAAAAGGAAGGGAATTGAAATGAAATGAAAAATGATAAAATGATCCTTAATTGCAGGCAGTGGTGAAAAACTCGGCTTGAAAAAAGCTTCGAAATAACTTTCCATAATCTCTCAAACGGTGTTCTCACTGGAACCTTATAGAACTCAGTGGTATACGAGTTCTATGAGGTTCCAGTGGGAACACCATTTGAGAGAGTGGCAGCTTTACCCCAAAGTCTCAAGTAAGGAAGAAGCGTCATAACTCATGGGCTGACTCAACACATGGCTGTACGATAGAGGGCGAGCTCAGCCTTTTTTTCAACTTTTGGGGGCATGGCGCATCTCTCTCGCAGAGAATCGTTGCAAATGCGATGTACATTAACAAAAATAGAGCTGAAAAATGAGTTAACAAGCACTACTTCACCTACCTACTAAAGATCATGTACAGAAAACGGAACCATACGAATTGTGAGCGATGTCGTCTCATAGCACGCCAAGCCGCAAGTACATCACGACCCCTTGCAAAATATTGAAAAGGCGAACGAGCTACCGAGATCGGGGCATCAAAGATTCCGGTATACCTAGTATAACAAACACATGTAAGCATACATGCTAAAGAAGTTACTGAGAAACAGAACAAAAAAAAACTTACTTCCTAAGAAGTGGGACTGAATCGAGCACAAAAATCTGCACATCTTCCGGAATAACACCTCGTGTATATGCATCTTGTAACCCTTCGAAACATGACGAGTGATTTCCATGCCCTGAGACCCCGCCAACGTCGAACGATAAAACGCAGTCGACAGACAAAACCTAAAATGGCAAATCTGAACATTTGTTCCTATGATGGACTGTTTAAAGCACTAAATGCTAATGAATACAGTGATCAAATTCTAAAAAAGCTAGCTTTCTACTAATACTTTCAGAATGCACTTCTTGCTGCCAGACCACACGCAACGCATTTTCTAAACTATCAACGCTGTGAACTGCATCAGTTTATCAGTGAGACGTTATAATTCTAAAACGAGCGCGCAACACTAACGCACAAGGAATCGTCTGATTATCCGATTGGATTCAGCTGCCTCCCTCATGGAAACACCTAACAAATTTAACTGTAAGAGAAAATGAGCTCCACGAAAGAAGACTTGACACCCACAATCATATCTGATGATCGCCTTTCTAGTACATCGATAAAAGAGAAAGAAGATTAAAATAAGATCTGTGATATCGAAGACTGTGTAAAAACGCGCTACTTCGATTTTAGCAACCCTATGGTCCTAGTCTTAATCTTGCAATCCCAATGAAACTATTAGGTTGTTCTCGTTGTTCTCAAAGTTCTCAGCTGTTTCACTTTAAACGATCATAACTATCTTAATACTCATCGGATTTAATCCAAATAAGCACACTTTTGTCAATGTGAAGACAGTCGACAAATCCCACCAAAGAAAAAACTGGGTGGTCGAGAATCCACGAAATCTACGAAGGTTTTTTTTTGGATGGCCCTAATTGATCAAGTATTAGGTTGGCCGATAAGTAATGGCCGTTTTTTTCAATCGAAAAATTTGTTCTAAAGGTGAACTGTTTTGCAAGCAAGCTTAATATCGTTTAATAGCAAACTTCTCGTAGTATTAGAATATCAAAACAGCTTCGGTTGAGGGAAGAGTTTTTGTGGATTTTTCAGTCGTTGAAGTTGAAAGTGAAGTCGGCGAAAATTAGCACCTTCGACAACTGCCTCTATTTACGTCTACTCGAAGTGCTAAAATCGCTTAAGCTGCTCCATACATTTGGAAAAGGTTGAGCTAGAAGTCTCAGCAAGGGAATCTCAATAGGACGCTTTGGAACTAATTTCAAGAATTTCAAAGTTGGCAACCTTCACCTTGCCAATATTGGGCAGGCTCACGTCTGTTCCACCTGAAATTTCATGCTAATAGTTGAATTGAATTTGATATTCTAATACTACGAGAAGTTTGCTATTAAACGATGTTAAGCTTGCTTGCAAAACTTTTCACTTTTGAAACAAATTTTTCAATTGAAAAAACGGCCATTACTTATTAGCCAGCCCACTGCTAGTGGGCTGGCTAATAACTGCTAGTGGGCTGGCTAATAACTGCTAGTGGGCTGGCTAATAACTGCTAGTGGGCTGGCTAATAAGTAATGGCCGTTTTTTTCAATTGAAAAATTTGTTTCAAAAGTGAAAAGTTTTGCAAGCAAGCTTAATATCGTTTAATAGCAAACTTCTCGTAGTATTAGAATATCAAATTCAAATTCAATTAATTCAACTATTAGCATGAAATTTCTAAATAGAGGCAGTTGTCGAAGGTGCTAATTTTCGCCGACTTCACTTTCAACTTCAACGACTGAAAAATCACAAAAACTCTTCCCTCAACCGAAGCTGTTTTGATATTCTAATACTACGAGAAGTTTGCTATTAAACGATATTAAGCTTGCTTGCAAAACAGTTCACTTTTGGAACAAATTTTCAATTGAAAAAACGGCCTCTGAAAATGTTTGAAAAGGTGATAGTCTCTTGGTGAAAGGTCTGGAGAATATGGCGGTGAGGTAGAACTTCAACCCCAATTCGTTCAATTTATGGATAGTGATTTGTGAAACGTGTGGGCGGGCGTTGTCATGCAAAAGAATCGGACCCTTTCTGTTGACAAGTGCTGGCTGCAGCTGACGCAATTTTCGGTACATTTCGTCGATTTCACAGTAGGACTCTGCTGTGATGGTTTGGCCTGGTGACAAAAAGTTATAGTGGATCACACCAGCCGATGACCACCACACTGTGACCATAATCTTTTTTTCGTGAGGATTCGGCTTTGGAAATTGCCTCGGTGGTTCGTCGGCATCCAACCACTGTCCGGAACGTCTCCTGTTATCATACATGATCCACTTTTCATCACAGGTGACAATTCGGTCCAAAAACGGGTCGTTTCTGTTGCGCAAAAGCAGTGAAGAGAAACCTCGAGACGTGCCAATTTCTGCCGGTCACTCAAAATGGGGCACCCACTTGTCGAGTTTTTTCACCTTCCCAATGCGTTTCAGACCATCCGCAACAGTGGATTTGCCAACGCCTAGCTTTTCTGCAATCTCTCGAACTGTTTGGGATGGGTCAGCCTCCACAAACGCCTTCAAATCCTCGTCAGGTATTGCTTTAGGTCGACCGCTACGAGGTTCATCTTCAAGGCTGAAATCTCCAGAACGAAATTTGTCGAACCATTGTCGCACGGTGCTTTCTCCAACACTATTGGGCCCCACACCTGGTTAATTTGTCGAGCTGTCTCGACTGCGGATTGACCCAATTTGTAGAAAAATATCGTCCGAAGTTGCTCTTTTGACATGCTTCAAAAAGTCTTGGGAAAAGGGGGTTTATCAAGCAATGGTGAAACGGCAATTATACCATCAGATAGCGCAAAGAATTCTCTTCAGGATGTACTACTGAGACGCAAGGGAGAGTGAGTTCAATCAGCAATGAATGTACAAAAAATAGTAACACAAAACGCTGAGAACTTTCCGGACAACCTAATACATGATTTTGGCATCGCTCAATTGCGAATCTACACACAAATTTTTATGAGCATGCAACTTCTCTATACTTACTTTAATATGGGGCTGCTTTGGGAACGAAGCTGGCGAATCGGTATGCAAATATAACACACTGAACCGCGGTTACCCCGCTTCGTGTGCCTGTGCACTGCCCTGTGCCCAGCAAACAAACACTCGAATGGAAATCGCAGCAAAAACAACAAGGTGTTCACTGAGCCAGCGGGTCTCGTAACGATAATCCAGTTGCAGAAAGGACGCCTAGAAAATGGTTCGCGAAGCTAAAGCTAGAGGGAATAGCCCAATGGACAGACACTGTCCCCCTCTCCCCCCAAGCTCTATTAAAGACACATAGTACGCTCACACATTGAGGGTGTATGAGACTATCAGCCCCCAGATGTCGATGTGTCGTGGTCCCCCCGCCCAAACATGCCCAGGAATGGAGATACAGGGCCGTGAAACACGCTAATTCTTCCATGCTCCGCCCACTGCCTTTTTACGGCGCAGATTCCCGCCGTTCATAACATCCGTTGCAAGCGCGCCTGTCGCGTGCGGCTCCTTGGCACTTTGCCAAGTCCTTTAATTGCGCTCTCAAATACAAGTAAAACGCAATTTCCTGATGCGGATAACATTGGAGGTGCTACAAAATAAGAGCAGAAGATGATGACGAGGGTCAGAACCTAAAAGCGACTGTGCCACTTCTGCAACATCCCTCGGAGGCCACGTATTTCCACGAAACATGAAAATAAAAACTAAAAACGGCATACTCGTTAGTTTAATACAAGCAAGACGCAATTTCCTGATGCGAATAAAATTTAGGTGTTGCTCATGCTTCAAAATCCATGTACAAGGAGATGAAGATGACACAGGCTAGAAATGAAGCACAACGATGTAAATGTAAACAAAACAAAAATGAAAAAATCAAGGAAAGGCAAATTAGATAAACTGGCCTGTAAATTTCTACGATCCGGCGCCAAAGCCATAGAAATACTTAGAACAAACGAGTGGGACGCTTGGGCTGTTTTTATTTTCATGTTTTGTGGGAATGCGCGGCCTTGATGGATACTGCAGATGCAGCCGAGTTGCTCTTGAGTTCTGCCCTTGTCATCATCTTCTGCTCTTATTTTGTAGCACCTCCAATGTTATCCGCATCAGGAAATTGCGTTTTACTTGTATTTGAGAGCGCAATTAAAGGACTTGGCAAAGTGCCAAGGAGCCGCACGCGACAGGCGCGCTTGCAACGGATGTTATGAACGGCGGGAATCTGCGCCGTAAAAAGGCAGTGGGCGGAGCATGGAAGAATTAGCGTGTTTCACGGCCCTGTATCTCCATTCCTGGGCATGTTTGGGCGGGGGACCACGACACATCGACATCTGGGGGGCTGATAGTCTCATACACCCTCAATGTGTATGAGCGTACTATGTGTCTTTGCACGAAAGAATGAGAATTCATCCCCAAGGCGGCAAACAATCGTTGACGAGTTCCTGAATTTGCGAGAAAATGCGCGATTGAATAAAACCAAATTTATGCAGTTTTACTGAAAAAACATTATTAAAAATGGAACAGAACGAAATTTTCACACATCCTACATATCTAACAATTTAATACTAGTCATTGGACATTAAGCTCTCCTGCAATAGAAAGGAGCGATGCGGGATGAGTTGAGTTTTCTTCTAATTGGACCCGAGACATAGAGGATAGAAATAAAGCCTTTGCGGTGAACAGATCCCATTTGTGGGATGCGGCACGCATTCTACTTCCATTCAGAATCGTAGTGGCTTACTGAATGCGATGTGGCCTATACAATGACTTGCGGGGATCAGCCGATATACAGTTAATATCACCGCATCTGTCGGGTCGCAGTCAGCGGTCGCGACCTGTGGCATTGCCACCACTGGTTGTTTTCCTCCTGAGTCAACCACTTCCCGATCGCCACTGGCTAGAGCAAGGCAGCCGCAGGCGGGTTCAGCCGCGTTGGGCTCGCGCCCCCGACAAATTGAAATGCAACAAACTTTACAAGTCAGTGTTCTTGTCCTCCCAGATGAATCTGGTTCTAAATCACCGTTCTCGGAGAGTAGAAGGTCTGGTCGACCGAGGCTGGAGCCGGTATAGAATTTGATCCCCAGGCCGTACGCGTGATATACGTACACGGGACATAACACACCTTATAGTACACCGCAGCTGATCCAGTCTGACGACGTCAGGATGTCTGTCAACCGCGAAGCCTTCTCTCTCCTTATCCTTCCTTTTTCCTTCTATTCCTCTTTTCCATCTCTCTTTCCTCTTCTTATTTTTCCCTCTTCAAATGCTCCGCTAGGAGATGCAAAGCTCTTGCGCGAATGAACATGTGGTTGAGGAAGCCATGTAACCCAAACCACTTTGCTGATAACTTCACAAGCAATGCAAGGGGGCCATGGACTTTTTCGTTACAATATGATATTTCAATGAAAACTAGGCGATAACAATAAAAGCCTCGCAGCAGTTACCACGGTCCCGGGTAAGATCTCATATTAATCTAGTTCGGCTCAGAAACAGCTTACTGATCAACAAGGCGTGCGTCATGTCTCTTCATTTAGAACAGCTGTTTTTACCTCAATGTGCCGGAGCAGAACATTGCTTAATGCTTGGCGATCCCACTGTCCCCCATCTGGGAAAGCATCATAGTCCAGTACAGTGACGTCTGATGATGTAACGCCAAGGAATGGAACCGCCTCTTGTAGCTCTCTGTTACGGATTTTTCCCTGAAAATAGCAAATCATGAAAGAAATGATTTTGTACAAACAACAAAATAAACCAACCAGCCCCTCAAAATTCCCATTGGACACGCATAAAATGAAGACACGATGATTGGCAGCACTTAATGCTCGCAACACTGGTGCAAAAAACATGGTCTCATCGTCAGGGTGAGCGATGACAAGCAACACCTGTCAAGTTTAGCCTGGTTTTTTATTTGAAGAGATGCAGAACGTTTAAAGTAGTAGATGTTCAAATGAACCTTTGATGATGGTCGTAAAGGCAGCGGTCTATTGCTGCGGAGTGCGAACAACAGCAGGACAACAAGAAAAAGAAGAAAAAACAAAATAAATAGTGGAAGCATTTCCTGAATAGAATCACTTAGTA